GTCTTTCAGGAGTTTGTCTTTCCGGAGTTTGTCTTTCCGGAGTTTGTCTTTCAGGAGTTTGTCTTTCAGGAGTTTGTCACGGCACCTAAGTAAATGATGCTTTAAATACGACTAAGATTTTTAAAAATTCTAATATTTTCAAATTTCCCACATGCTATTGATTTTTTTTTGGAGTAAAACCATTTTGTATGAATTAAAAAAAAATTATAGAGGATGAACATTATTGTTATGTATATAATGTCATATATCGATATTACAGCTCTTAACCTTTTAATAAATACTACAAATTACCTTATCGAAAAGTTCTTGAGCAATCTTAAGATGTCGAAGATGGTATTCAATAGCTGTAGGATATTCCTTTAAAACCGAATATTTTCTATACAATCGTGATAGTACAACTGCGTACAAATGGAATAAAGATAGGAGAGTTGTTCGCATTTTCTGTGACTTTTAAGGTCACCTCAATATAACAATAAATATAACAAAGGCTTTGTATTTTTATGCTTGGAAGGACAGGGTCTGTGCAAAACTCATGTTAACAAAATGCTTTTTTGGTGTGGGGGGGGGGGTCAAGGGGTATATGGAAGGGTAGAAAGCAGGGGGAGGGGGCATATATGAGAGAAGGGGAGTGCTTATGGGAGGGGTAAAGAGCGTGTAAAGCAAGATAAGGACTAGGAGGGTGGTAGAAGGTGGGTTGGAAGAAAATTTTGTATTTCCAGAGTAAGCTGGGTACGCATTCTAGTTTTTTCAAAATTATTCCAAACTTAGCTGGGTAACCATGCTAGATTATTTAAAAATGTTCCAGGCTAAGCTGGGTAACAATAATAGTTTATTCTAAAATATTTCAGACTACGATGGGTACCCATGTTGTTTTATTATAAAATATTCCAGACTAATCTGGGTTTATTCATAGATATTTCAAACTAAGCTCGGAACCCAATACCTATACCAGTTTATTATAAAATATTCCAGAATAAGCTGGGTACCCAGGGACCAGATTTAATGAGTTGCTAGAAGTCATTGAACTAACTCCAACTGTGCGGTTCAAATCCTGAATCACCTATTTAAGATTAAAGAGTCCTGTGAGGATGGAGAGTGAACTCAGGATTTGAACACATCGTTAGGAATACATTGACCTCTCCAATTCACAAAACTTATTCTAAAATAATAATATTCTTGGTTCCTTGAGCAGGGTGTAAGTGTTCCCCAAGGAATAACAGGCTTGAGCTTCAACTGCTCTATCTCCTAACTCCTAAATATCAAAACAAATTTTATCAAAAGTAATATTAGGAAAATGTGAAAAAGAACATTATAAATCTGTTTTTAATTCGTAAAATTTACTTTTAAGAAAATGGCATAAAATAATAATAAAATATGAATAAAGGGCAGAAATATTTTCTAATGCTAATTTGGTAAACAATGGTTTTGTGATGAACAATGCAATGTTTTACTGCTAATTAATTCGTAATAAATTTAAAAATTATATAATCTTATCAAATCTTTAAAATAAAATCACAACTATAAGTCATGAATAAAATTATGTACTATTCTAAAATTTCAATAGACATTTAATAACATAAAAAGTTAACTTCGCACTTATTGAGAAAAAAATGAGTGGTGCCCAATGCTCATACAATCACCAATTGGTATGCAACATTTTTGTATCAATTTATCATTTTAATCATTTTTTTTTGGAAAATTAGGAAATATTTAAACCTTAAATTGTTTATTTAAATTACTAATGTTCCCGAAATGTCGGACATGTAAATTAGGTTCAGATTAAATATTTTTGTTTAGATTGTCTTTTTGTTTGTTTACATTCAACCAACGCCAAAACGGCTGAACTGACCAGACTCAAATTTCTATCTTTTTTTCTAATTTTTAATAATCAGGAAAATTCTAAATTCAATACTAAAAAGAGCACGAATCACCTCAGAACTAATATTAACGTTTTTTTTATTAAAAAAATGACCACCCCTGACTGTACCTGAGCTAAAAGTAAAGTTTGTTTATAATGTTCCGCTGCCTTCTCAAACTCTCCAAGAAATATGTTCGCGTTCCCGAGATTTGAATGCGCGCGCCGCTCTGCACTCCGATCTTCAAATTCCCGCGCTATTTTCAATCTTTCCTGAAAACAATTAAACTACGTTTAAATCTCTCTAAATTACAGAATTTTGTCAGATAATTTCAAAAAATAAATAAGGAAACCACCTTACACTAGGCAACTGTTAAGATCGGGCCGGCTCTCAAGTTTTGACCAGTTGCCTCTTATGTAGCTTTGGTCATACAAATTTAAAAGCTTTCATTTCCATTTCCATTTTCAGTTTTGAAGATGTAATTGGTCTTACCCTGTTTTATTCAAACTCTTTTTATTCTTTAATGTTCTAAAAAATCTTAAATTGGGTTAATTTTTTTTAAGATTTGAAAAGGTGTTTTTGTGATTCCAAACTAAAAAACTTTCTAAAAAGAAATATAAAGTTGTCATCAAAGCTTAATAAATGTTATTTTAATTTGTTGTGGATCGTTTTTAAAATAAACATTATACATTTTCTTGGATTATAAAAAGGGTGTATTACAAAAAGAATGTTTTTCGATGCTCAGGAAGAAAAAAAATCATGTAATTCAGAAGGCAAATAATTCTTTTGTTTTCCCCTAAAAATTTGTTTTAATTCAGGAGATAAATCCATTAAATATATATATATGTTTTTAACTTTAATAATTTATTTTAATTAAATTTTACAATATTTTTAAATTTCAATGTGATATCAGATGGAAACATTTTGAGACTTCTATATTTCTTGTTTTTCATTCTTTCTTCTTGATCGTCCATTCCTTGTCCATCCTTCAATCATACTTTGGCTAATTTTGAAAATAAAAATAAATATCACTTGAAATTGCGTAAACAGTCCCAAAGATTACCAGAAATAGAATGTAAGATAAAGACGGTAGAAAATATTATTAATTGGACTAACCCCTAATAAAAGGATTAAAGATAACACAATTTATCCATTAAAGAATTAATTATTTTTTCTGAACATATTTATAATGTTTATTTATATTTATTATTGCATGTTTTACGTATGGTTATTGGTTACCTTGTTGATTTATCTGAATATATATTTCTTGGTTTATTTGAATCCAATTTTTTTGTAGTTACTAACATTATCCAAGAAAAGGATCATTGCTGATCAAAATTAAAATCTCTTTTTGAAAATCCGCCAGTGAAACGGAAAAAAATTGCAAAATATTTTACAATTATCATTTCAAAAAAAAAACTCACGAAAGATATTTAAGAAAAGTTCAAAAATGAATTTTCTTTTCTTTTATTGCGTTGTATAAAGATGAAATCCTGAAACGCCAAATATCATTTTTAAAGCTTCTAAAAAAAAAGAAAAAGTTTTTACATCAATTCTTAATTGTGCAGGTTAGGGTACACACCTTGACTTAGAAAACTGGGGGCTTCAGAAAAAAACCTAGCTTCATTTTTACCTATTAAAAAAGATAAGAACCTTAAAATAAAAAGATAATAAATAAAGCTGGCCTTAAATATAAATTTCATTTTCAATCTTTGATTATAAAGATCTTTTCAATAAATTTAATTTTATAAAAAAAAAGAATTACTGGGTAAGAATCAAAAGAGATAAAAAATTTTTAAGATTTAAGGGACCGCAGCTAGGCGGAATCAATCGTACATCCAACTCAATAAATGAAGAGTCCCTTTATGTCTTATTTCATATTTTTACCATAAAAAGATTTGTTTCGTGATATCTCGCCGTATCTAAGTGATTTATAGAGGAGTTTTAAAGGAAAAGGTTCCAACAAATCCAAAAAAAAGAAATTGAAAAAGAAATAGAAACCAATAATCTGACATAGATTTGTATTTAGTAACCACTGAATAGAATTTCTTGAGGACTTTTTTCGTCGAGAGTGTGGTGGAGGGGTATATTTTTATACAGGGAG